CAGCAGTTCTTCCCTCCCTGAAACTGGGATTTGCTTGTCCAGCAGGCAGCCTGAAGTGTGTGAGCACCCAGGTGCCCAGGGTCTAGCCCCACGCTGGTCATCAGCTCGCGGGGTACTGATCATGACAATGAAGATTCACTGAGCACACAGTACATACCTCCTACTGTGCCCAGTGCTTTCCAGGCGTCCTCTCAGTGAATCCACGGAGCCCCCTGAGCTGCAGCCTCTTCCTGTCCTCATTTTAGAGATGAGGAAACTGAGGCACAAAGCAGTTAAATAACTTGCCCCAGGCCACCCGTCTAGAAAGTGGCAGAGCTGATTTTAACCCAGACACTCTGGTGCAAAGTCTAGTCTCTTAAGTATAATTCTCTCCCAGCCATGGTCACCCACCTGGGAAGAGGGAGACCCAGGGTCCAAACTCAAGCAGGCTAACTCCAGTGTTTACTCTTTATATGTCTCCCCATGTTTCCCAAACGTCTATCATCCCAGTTCCATAGGCACGGTTTCTGCCTTGTCTTTGTGCCAACTGGTCTCTTGATTTACTATTTTTCTTGATGTTGACTCACTTTTTAAAAACTTAAATGCATGTTTTGAGGTATTTTAACCAACTTATTAGAGGTATAATTGACATATAATAAACTGCACATGTTTAAAGTTTGATAAGTTTTGACATCTGTATACACCTGGAAACCATCACCACAATTGAGACAGTGAATATATCCATCACCCCCAAAAGTTTCCTTGAGCCCCCTTCCTCTCTCTCTTCCACTTCTCCCCCAAGGCAACAACTGATCCGGTTCTTTGGTTGGTTGGTTTTCTTTTTGTCACTAGATTACTTTATATTTTCTAGAATTTTATATAAATGGAATCATACAGTACAAAATCTTTTTTGATCTGACTTCTTTCACTCAGTGTAATTATTTTGAGATTCATCCATGTTGCCGTGTGCATCAAGAGTGTGTTTCTTTTTATTGCTGAGTGGTATTCCATGGTGTGGATATACCATGATTTGTTTAGCCATTCACCCACTGAGGGACATTTTTAGTGGTTTCCAGTTTTTGGCTATTAAAGATAAAGCTATTTTAAATATTCAAACATTCATGTACTAGTCTTCATGTGGATACACACTTTTCATTTCTTTCGGGTAAATACCTAGGGGAATTACTGGATCCTAGGGTACGTACATCTACTTTTTTAAGAAACAGCCAAACTATTTTCTAAAGTGATTGTATTATTTTATATTGCCACCAGCAGCGTATAAGGGTTTCAGTTCCTCAATATCCTTGCCAAAAG